TCCAACGCACAGCTATCTCAAGTCCTACACAAGCTATCATCTCTGTTCTCCCCCTTGTACTGCTTTTAGCTGGTGGGGACTAATAATATTCAGAAATATAAAAGCAATTTTCTAGCAAAAGTCTGAAACAATTCAGAAGTCAATTTTAGCTGTATGATAGGCACAGATACTGTAAGAGAATAGCAAACATTACATGAGACTGGGTAAGAGTGCAAATAGTTTTGGGGAAGCTGTTTTTGCTGTATGCCTGCAAAATGGATCACCAGGACTGCCTTATTCCTTAGGGAAATAATTTTAATTGCTAGTTCATTTCCTTCCTCTAAATATCCAAAGTATTATTATCTTTGGTTTCTTGCTGAAAAATTGTCTGTTTAAAAAATATAGAATTGCCTGTTTTGTCCTTTCAGTGTTTCTGTTTTAGTCTACAAATGGACCTTTTAAAAAGCATAATTCTCTGATTAATTTCATAGGCTATTAATCAAGAAATGCTTAAAGATGACTTTCTGAACTCAGTAATAGGTGATGAATTTTCTCAGAATTAATATTTAGGACAAATATTAGCAGCAATTTCAGTTAATTTAAAAATAGACCTTGTCTGTGAGTTTGGCAATATTTGGGCAATTTTTTAATGTATTTTGTTAACAATCAGATATCAGACCTTCCTTTTAAAGTGATAAAATTAAGCATGTCCTTGAGGGCTTCATGTTTTTTTCATTGTGCTGTTATCTCAACTGAAGTTTGGAAGTGCAATTTCAATAAATAGTATATTTAAAAGGACAGCAGTAATCAAATGCAGTCTCATTGTTTTCTATTGCACCTAGCAATAACTCACAACACTTGACTGCAAATATCTGAAGATGAGGATCCTTGGATGGGATGATTGATTGATTGATTTTTGATTGGTAATGTCATAAACAGTCTTCCAGTACTGGGAGAAGGCAGCCAAAACTTAATCTACTGGAATGTAACTGCCATCTGTTTGGCTGATCTATAACGATTTGCTCTGTGAATGCCTTACTCTCTTCCTTCAACTACAGAGACACTAAGAGGTTTTTCTACAACATACTATTGGGCAATAGCAGAGCTCATTCCTGGGTGTACCAGCTGCTTTTTCTCTGGTTGAAGTTATCAGCTTTCCTCAGTTATTGCCTTAAAGACAGAGAGCTCAGTAGCTGGCAGAGCTTCTTGTTCAGTAATGTCTGTGGTTTGGATCAAATTGAATCCAGTATTTAGAAGCAAAATATTCATGCAGTTGGATTCAACAAAGGCTCTTATTCCTAAACCTTGTTTGATAATATCCTCCATCTCCTAGAGATTTATAGTACCTTTTCATTTCTCTTAAAGAAAAAATGTGTCGGGAAGAGAATTAAACCTAAAAAGTCCAATGTTTACATATGTGATTTCATCACTGAATCGTGGTGTCTTACTTCATTGAGAGGGAACTTTACTGTTTCATGTCTGTTTCAGTACTACTTTCATAGACATCTTTGGCCAGAATCCCAGTTAATAATCTGAAATAATTTCAGAGGTATAATGTAGTTGTTATTTTTAAATATCACATATAATTACTTTATGTTATCTTGATTGTGACAGATCACCCTAATCTGTTAAGGGACAGCAGTTATTGATGAAATGGTGTTTGGACTGTATTTGGGAGTGTCCATATAAGTAACATATGGAATGGATGTTCAGTATTTGAATTGGATTTGAATTTGACAAATACTGAACACCAAGAATTTAAAAAAGGCTTAAACTTCAGTTGTGCTGAGCTTTTACAAGTAGTGCATGCATTCAGCTTTCCTGAGAAAATTCAATTGTATTTGGAGAAATATGGGAATATAGGCAAGATGTCATCAGAAAATATCCCTTGTGAAAACTGTAAGAAATTAATCTTCTTTACAATATACAGTAAGATGGCAACTCAGCATCAAGGATGGCCTCAGGTTAAAAATAACTTACTTCCCCAAAAGACAATTGTTATGAGAGGTTCTAATAAATATTCCTTTTATACTCACAGAGGTTGCTGACAGTAATCCTCATAGGTGGTGAAAAAAATGTCTGGAAAAATCCTTTGCTGTAATGCTGTACTGTTCAGTAGAATAAAGGTGCTATGTACTTCATACATATGCAGTATTTGGACAGAACTGTACAACTAGAGAAGCAGTGGGAGATTACACTCATATCCATACCTGAAAAACAAAGGAAAAAGAAAAACTTTCTTGAAGTAGTAATGTGTATGTTCTCTACTTGCTGTGAATGATCTTCCTTTCAGTAATGTGCTTCTACATCATTAAAAGACACTGAAAAGTTTGTTTCTCTTCATAAGTGTATTTATATAGAATTCTAGCTATCAGCAGAACTCTACATCTGTACCATATTACTATTAAAATTATTTTCTTAATTCAGTAGTTTACATGCAAATTCATTATAATTTTTGAAGCGTTTTTGCATCTTCTTACGCATGTAGTACCTGTAGGGGATGGAATGCATTATAAGCAGGTACAATGAACCAAACCATGTAAACAGGTCTGACAGAATAAAAACTCGTAGGTATCTAATGATACCAATAAAATCATATTTATGAAAGACTCCAAGAATTCTATTTCCATGGTAATACAATTTAGAAACCATGAAGGCAGTAACTTGGAACACAAGCTTGGATCCTAACTTTACTGAGAGCTCCTGAGCTGCTCAGATCAGCTTCAGTAGTTAGTTGCATGAGCCTTTTTGTAGTCAGATTGTAAATTTTTACAGATAGGATTAAGAAAAATTAGGATGTGAGAGACAAATAATTAATAGTATTTTCATAAAATACACCTGCATGAAGGTATGAAGCTTTTTCGGAGTAAGAGGAATTCTGTCTTCCTTCTAATATCCAAGTAGAAGTGAATTTGTTTCCTTCCAGAAGTATCTAAGGTTATTTAACTTGAATTAAATACTAAATGAGACTTTGGTTTTTATACAGAAAATTTGGTAGACATGAGTAAGTCCTCACACTGACAAAATCTTGAGCTGAAGTCTATAATAAAAGTGTTTGATTTACAAAATGTATGATGAATCTTCTTTGAGCATGGATCAAGATACCATTTAAAGCATTTGTATAGAGCTACCAACTAGGCTCAGCACTAGAACTTTCTAGTTGTGGAGGTGGAGGCTTAGATACTAATAGTTAACTGGAGTAGCATTATTAGTTATGAAAAACTGGAAAATTTAAAAATTTTGCAGAGTTTTGACTATGGTTTAAATATTGCATGTTTATCTGAAACAAACTATTTTAGTAATTATTTCTTCTTTATCTCTGGAGCCCTTTCCTTGAACCTCAAATGCAATTTTTATTTTCTATGGAAATTTTGTCAGAATGATAAATTAAACTGGGAAAATATATCTTTGTTTTCAAAACCTTTTAATTTACTGTACCTCCTTTATACATGACAGTAATAACCATTTCTGTTGACCGTTAAAGGAGGAAAGAACTTCTAAGCTGGCTGGCTTTTGTCATCTTCCTGGCAGTATAGTTTTAATTATGTTTACTTGTGTGACTTACCTAGAGCTGCTGAAGTTGTTAGAAGTTGCTTCAAAGGTGTCACTGAGATTTACTGGGCACATAAAGTACATCCTGGCATAGAAAGTACAGCAGATGATACAGAAAGTGTCAAGGAGAAAGTAACCCGGTTATATCTGCAACAGCTAAAGTAAAATGCATCAGTAATGATGTTAATGTAGGGTGAAATCCAGCTGAAACAGAATTTATGGTCAATATATTTTAAACTAGGACCATAATAGTTTCATCTAGAATATAAGTTCTTATCAAGTATGTCTTCAGCTCAGGATCATGTCACCAGGAATAGATTGTGTATGTTCTGGGGAGTGGGCTGTGGGGAGGGAATGTCAGGTCTGCATGGCAGCATGGTCTGATGAGACGGTAGTCCTGTGCTGCTGGCTGGGAATAAGAGGTACTACAGGAGAGGAACTTCTCCATCACCAGGGTAATTCTAAATTCTAAGTCCACCTCTTCCATTTTCTAGAGTACTGATTATTTTCTAAGTTTACTCTAATTTTAAAACACTATAATTGAGGCCTTGTTTTATTTGCTTTGTCTCAAAGGAGGTGGAAGCAAGGAAGGAACTGACACTAGCATGTACTACTTTTGTAGTATTACTTCAAGCTTTTCAACAGAAAGCTGGCAATGCTGTTGATTTAAATATTTTATGGTTACAACAGCTTGGGATGTGTAAAGGAAGACTGGAAATCTGAGATTTGTTTCATTGCTCATTTCAGGCCATACACTTTTTTTCCCCCTTTCTCTCTTTTAGACGGGAAAGTACAGACCGTCACAGCTACTGGCCTTGACAGAAATTTGCTGTGACATGAGCATAACAGCAACTTCTGTAATTTTAAAGAACATGATAATTAGGAAACTTTCTTCCACAATTATATATGTATTTGTCTCTGAATGGCAAATCTACAGTAAAGCAAACTTTTGGAGATTTAAAATAAAATAGCATTGTAAGCCTATCGCTATCAGAAATTTTTTTGGATATTCTTATAAAGGATAGTCTAGTGAATTATGTTCAGAAATGTTGAAAACCACATTGTTTTTAAGGTGTTAACTGTGAATACTGCTCATTGCTTTGTTAGAGCATGTCCATTATTAAGGAACTTAACTGACCATCTTGCCTCAAAAGCCATCAAACATTTTGCCATAGATTTCACTGATGTGATTACAGGAAGTATATGATTGGGATTTGGGGATAGTGAACATTTTCATCATAATATAAGATGATTGGATGAGGTAACTGCCTTGTCAACTGCTAGTGGTTAGAAGCAGAACTGTTTCTGCAACAATTTCTAATTTGTACATTTTTTCCTTTATTACTGAGTTGCAGTGTACATGTTGCTGCTGCTCCCTGAAGCGACATGACTCAGTATTTCAAGGGACTGTTTTACATAAAACTAATGTGCATCTTCCATATCAATCTGTGTTTTTTCCCCCCTTTCAGGAAGATACAGATCATAATTATTATACTTCAAGGACGTATGGCCCATATGATTCTACCAGCCGGGATTTGTGGGTCAATATAGACCAGATGGAGAAGGACAAAGTAAAGATTCATGGGATCCTTTCCAATACGCATCGGCAAGCTGCAGTAAGTTATCATAGCATTTTCTTCTTTGACTAACATTGATGTTTTCACCAGTGACCCACAGAGTAGTATTACTAAGTATGATGACTACTGTTCACAGAGCTATATCTTTGAATCTTAGTTAAGATGTGAAAGTCTTTACAGTGTTGCTATCAAGTGATTCCAAGTTGCGTTTTTGAATATGCTATAAAAGTCCTTTAGAGATACCTTTACAGATAGATTTAAAATTTTTCTCTGTTCAGGAGGATCACAAGCTATCAAACTACTTGTGTTGCTGAAGTTAAAGGGAATTTTACCACTGAGTTTGATAACAACAGAACTGGGTTCAGGATGAAGTTGAAGTTTAAATCTCCCATGGAATGTATCTGTGTTTTCACTTCTATTTTGCATGAGGTGTCACACTTACTTTTCCTTTTGGGACAACTGAAAAAAAAGGCATGAGAATGTCTTATAGTAATAGAAGTGATGTGATCACAGTTTTAGATTATTGACAAATAAATATCACAGAACATAAACAACAATCATATTTAACTTATTGTAATCATGCTACCTGGTAAAATTGATATGAAAATAATAGGCTTACAAACTTGGAAGTGAAATAGAATACTGTATGATTTAAAATTGTATTCTCAGTTCTCGCCTGTGGATCAAAACTGCATACATAGAAGAGCCAATATCAGTACAAATTAAATACAGAAAATTACAACTCAGAATTGTGGTTCATGAGGATCTTGTTTCATCCATTTGCCAACTTAGCTCCAACAAAAAGTCCTTGGGTTTTGCCGGTTTAAAACAAATTCTAGTGGACACCTTAATTAAAAGCCGTACTGTTTTTAAAGATGCAAATGAGCTTAACAGTTTTAAAGCTGAGAGAAAACCCAAGTTTAATTCATCTTTTCTCTGAGTTTATTTGTTTGCTCCCTGTCACAAGCCAGGTGACTGGCTCAGAGAAATGCAAGAGGTGGCTGGAAGAAATACTGTGATATTTAGCTCAGAATACAAAAAGCAGAATGACATGATAAATCCAGTGCATGTGACTGACAAAGAGTCCAATACAAAAAATATATTCCTCATAGTCAAAAAGACTGTAAGGAGCAAGAGATAATGCAAAAACAGAGGGTTCAGGCAGTTATATGTCTTTGGGGTAGATTTAATAAAACATTGTATTAGTTATTTTCTTAAAAGAATTTGATTCTAATGAGAAAAAAAACCTCAGGGCACCTAAAAGTGAAAATCTTCATTGTCTGCCTTGCCAGCTTCATGTAGATTCCTGGTGCTCTGTGTTAAGGGAGAGAATGGAAATATGCCAAAAAAAAAAAAAGGTATTAAAATATTTACAAATACATATAAAAGGTATAACATCTTTCACTATTAAAAGTAATTTGTGAAAGTGAGATCTAAACATTAATGAAATTCCTTTGAAAAACTTTAACCTGCGTTTAAGAATTAGTGAAGTCAACACCCTTCCACATCTTTGTTGTAAGCAATTTTGTTTCCAGTTGGATCCCTGAAATTATACACCTAAAAATGTCAATTCCAAGGCAGACATTTTAATGAAGTTATTAAATTGAGGTTTAGAATGAGGCAATTTCTTTTTCTTGGTGTGGGATCAGTGTGGAGGAGCATTCAGCATGGTTTAGAACTCTGATAACCATCTCTTTTCATACTTACTCAAATATCTTGGACTGCGAACTTAAGTACCTGTAGCCATGTCTACATACATTTTTAAAGGTCTCTTTTTCAGAGGTTTATGTCCTTCCTGAATGATGAAAAAGTATCAATGAGTCATCCCATCAGGTTTTATATTTCATTTATACATCTATAATTGATTTCTTCTATGCATCTGAGCAAACAACATTCATATGTACTACACAATGAAGTTATTTAACAGAGATGTGCTCTCTATAACTGTACAACTGTAGAGTCATATATTCTGAAATGATCATACATAACTGAGCAGCAATCTCTTCCTTTCCATTCCATAGAGATAAACTTTGTCATTATTCTTTTTTAAAGGCCATTTTGAACATCATTTGTGACTCAGTGATTTACACGCTGATAATTTCTAAACATTATTCTCCAATTTGACAGTAGAATCAGGAGTTAAATTATTATATGTTAAGAATCAGTGAATTCATTTAACAATGTCGGGGATTCTTTGAATGGTAAAACTTTTACGCTTAATTTGTGTGTTTTCCTTCAGTTTGAAATATATAATCCTAAGATTTCCCAGAAGCTGTCAGGTGGTTTTGCTTCTACAGGAAAAGCAATAAAGAGAAGATCCATGAGGTGATTTGATTGTATAAATGGCATAGAAATTGGTTGCAGAAAGTAACACACATATATTAATGGAACAATTAAAATGTCTAACACTACAGGATTTACATCACTAATAGTAAGGATTGTTTCTTAACATATGACCACCATATTCTTAACCATAAAATAAAATTTTAGGAGTGGCTTGGATATTCAGTGTGTTTAGATATCTAGTAGCTGATTACTCAAACACTGAACTAGATACAGGATACCTCATAGTCGAGAAATCAATTCCCTTTTCTCGCAGTCCATTCGATCATTAAGTATGAAGAAAACATTTTTATTTCAGCAGGTTAAAAATTCTGATTTCTTTTCTGAAAAAAAAGGTATACTTTCTAGCAGCAAAAGCGAAAGGACACTTTTAGTGACTATTAGAATATTGTGCTTTAAAACATTCCTTAAATCATGTAGCTTCTTATTACAGTATTATGCTAAACTGTCTACATTAAACATTTTTACATTGTCAGAATTTAAGGCATCCTTTTTCTATTTAAGTCAGTGGGAGACCTGTATCTGGCTTGAGTGGGCAAATAATCAAGTTTTTATTGTAAAAATCTTTATACTAATGTTTGTATTACAACAATTGAGAAGATTGCTAAGGGGACAGTTTTGATTTGAAACAGTTTCATGGTTACTGTGTATTCAGCAAGCTAATGCTACTAGGTAAAATGGAGGGTAGCACACAAAGGAAAGAGGGATGGTTTGGTCAGCAAATTGGTAGTTTTAACAGAGTTCTTGGAAATTATGTTTGGTAGAGCAAGGACAATTTAAATGGACTGCATACACAGACATAGCATACACTGCAGCAGTGAAAACTTTAGGACACGGTAAAAGAACATTTGTTTAAGTTAATTCATTAGTTGTCTTTTGCACATGCCATTTTGATTAGAAATGTTCAGTGGCACATCCATATTTATGTATATACAGAAAAGGTCATTAGAACCCACTCAGTCCAATTAACACAATGCAAATGGATTTTGCATTTTAATTAAAAACAAACAAAAAATGTGCTAATAAATCCTGTCTAAATTCTGTCTTCCACTTAAGTGGAAAGTAAACCTAATTTAAAGTTACTGTAAATCTTCAGCTGCTAATTTCATGCTAAATAAGTCTTTAAACATTTCTGGTGGATGTAAGCATAATTCTTTCTGAGAGAAGAAGTACTCAGATATAATCTGAACATAATAAACCCAGGACAGAAATAATGGTAGGGAAAATAAAAACAAAAAGTGATTTTCTTTTTCCTTTTTTTCCCCTCTTTTTTAAAATGTATGAGCTGTTGTGCTTACTTAAGTGGAGACATCGAAGGACTGAGGGACAGTCACCAACAACCCACCTTCACACTGAGTTTTACTAGAATAATTCCTCCTAAATAAGAAATAATGGGTTTCATGCCTGTTTTCTATCTGGGATTTGGACCATTATGGAAGTGATGTGTTTTTCATGGAATATTATATTTAAACTATGGAAAACCTTACTGGGATTTTAGCATTCCTTTCTACCATAACTACTGATTTATTCAGAGTTTAACCAGATAGCACATGAGGTGATAAGATCAACCACAATATTTAGCGAGCTTTGGGAAAGTAGTGAATAGGTGGAAAAGGAGAAAGCCATAGGTAGAGAGGAAAAATGAGTTTGGATTTGAATGATGCTTTATAGCGAGCTTAGTTGAGAAAAGTCTGTTCCCCAAATTACAGTTCCCTGCTATGAATTCACCTTATAGAGGGTAGTCATCTGTAGGCTTATACAAACAATTTTTTTTTTATTTTTATTTTGCAGTAAGTACCTTATGTAGAGTTTGTTGTTGCTTCTGTTGAATATTTCTTTGTACATCATTTCGTTTCCTAGTTGACAGTACAGAGAGGTTTAGGAACTGGTGTCATATGGGATTAGTGGAGAAATTGCCTTCCAGTGACCAGCCTTCATTAGATAAGCACCCAGGTAGCTGCAGGATGTCAGGGTGAGCACTTGAATCTGAAGGCACATGTGATGGAGGAGCAAATGACCAGCAGCCAAGGTAGGAGGCATCCTGCAAAATGTAGGTATGGCTAAGGTTTAGATATTGATGGCTCCTCTTAAGAAAGAGGTTAAAGCAACTTTTTTTAAGGAAAAACTCTATAAATCTTTATTAATTTTATTCTTATGAATGAGTTACAATGTCTATTCATGTATTTTATTTTCTGAAGTCTTTAATTATGAAGATCTACTGCTTTCAGTTGTTCAAGTGCTACACAGAATTGTTTCCAGTAGCTATTACCAGTTCCGAATTCAAAAAGAATAGCAAGGCTTCAGTGAAAAATAAAAAGCAATGAAACAGATATTTGAAGTGCAGGACTGTTCCATCTTGTTTTCTCTTACCTTTCTGCTCAATATTGATTTTATTTTCTGATGTTCCTTTCAGAGAGTGAATCTGTCCTTTGATTTTCCATTTTACGGTCATTTTCTACGTGAAATTACTGTGGCAACTGGGGGTAAGTGGCTTTCTAACAATTTACTTTGAGTAATATGGGAAGAGTTCCTTGCAGCTTTTTAAAATACTGTTTTTTCCCCTGTATATGTCAAGAGATAAAATGCAGCTTTTATTTAGGAAATCTTCCTGTCCACAAAAAAGAAAGTCACAAAATATCAATATGATGAAAAACCTCCAGGTGTTCAAGATGAACTGTTATAAACCCATCTCACTGTAAGACTTTATAATATTATAAAAATAATTTAACAGACTTTTCTGTTAAATATTTCCCCAGAAATCTTGTGTGTATGTGTGTGTAGGAGTTACACTTGTGGAGAAAGTGCTGGAGCCAAATCAAGGAGGCAGATTTAGGATTTGCCTGTACGAGGGCAGAGGATTTACTATCCAAAGATAAGTGATACTAGAAGTACGCAATTTCTCACCTGTGAGGCAAACTCACTGCAGTGCATTGTCTTGGTGTGGTAAGGCATCTGAAAATGTACCACGGTGTTCCTCTTCTTCTGTGGGGTAAGACAGGAGGTGTGGAATAGCTCAAGCTCCTAGTCTTGCAGCTCTGGGCACTACTGCTGACTTGTGGTTAGGGTTCTCCCTCCCACTGCTGCTGGCTGCTACTTGCACCAGTCTCCTGCACTAGGAACAGTCATTGACTCCTTCTGCTCCCGTCCCTCTCCACCTCCTTGAAAAACAAAGATGAGACCAGAGGATAATGAGATGACATGGAAGACAACAAATGATAAAAAGAAGGAGTAATGGTGAAAAAATGAAAACAGGGAGGTGAAAGACGGCATCATAGAGAGCACACCCACAGCATCCTCTGGTCCTTGAACAGGTCCAGCAAGTTCATGGACTCTGGCTGGTGGTGCTCTGCCTAGAGGTGTGACAGGACAAGCAGGCAGAAATAGGGGCCACTATCATCAGGAGTAATCCTACACTGCCACAGTCAAGGCTTCTTCTCATGCTATGTGTGACCAGCTGGCCAAGATCAGGGGATGTCCATGTCCTACCGGAGTCCTAAATGCAGAAGTTATGACTAAAAGATTAGCAAAGAATTGCAACCAGTGTCTCAACAAGAGTAGGAACTAGAATAGAGGTTTCTGTCATGCTCCCCATCAGGATTTCCATTTTGCTACCAAAGCAAAAGAACGTAAGAGATGGACAGAGGTGAATAAATGCTGATATTAAATGGTTGATTTGCAGAAGAATGATAAAAAAGGATGCAGAGCTATGGGATTACTTCAGTATCAGGGTTTTCTCTTCTTGATCAGCAATGATGTTTTGATGATGATTTTGATCAGAAAAACCATGAACCACTGATTTTGAGACTTGCCTGATTTCCATTCTGCTTTGCTTTTAGTTTCATTTTGGTGCTTGATTGTCAGTGCATAGTTCTGTATTCTGTAGTAGAGGAATCGCATTTGACAGGGTGCCAAAATCAAGTGCATGATCTGTGCAGCATGAAAGAATGGGGTAGGATGGATCCTGCACAGTTAAAGCAGCAGCAGTGGAGACATTGTTCATTCTCTAAATGTCCCCTTATTCGTACTGCTGTACTTTGTTCTTTAAAATTTCACAAAGTTCATTCTTCCTTCAAGTAATTGTTTTTGTGTGGTCACTCTGTTGGGCCTTTCCTTTTAAGGGAAGTCCTGAATTTTTACCACTTTTACCCCTTTCACTAATACGCTGCTGTTACCAGTTTCCCCATCTGACCCCAAAGACTTGGGAGCAAAGTTAAGTTCCTAAGAAGAACTGTGTACTAGTAATTTGTGTGGGAAATGTTGTTTCTTTTGTTTCAGAGTATTTGGGGAATTCAGATGGTTTTGGTCTTGATTTCTTTTTTTAAAAAGCACATAAGCATATAAGAATAGCTACAACTCTACAGTACTCTTTTCTCTTGCTATTAATGGAACACTGGATGATAATTCTGCTTTTATTTTGGTCTACGTTTGGTCTAAGTAAAGTAATATTGCTGTGAATAGATCTATGGATTATTGTCAAGCTAAATAGGACCTTAAAATCAGTCCTTTTAATATACACCACTGCCATTAGCATAGCACTTGTGTCTTCATTGACACTTGCATGATTTTCAACCTCAAACTTAAGCATGAAAAAGAAAGATCTAGTCAGTAATAGCTTTAAAAATATCATCTTGATAAAGCTCAGTAACTGTAAATCATTCTGTCAGTCCAATACAGGATGGAACTTTTTCTACAACTACAAGACCCCCAAACTCATTTAGTGGAAAAAGAAAGGTTTATTTCTGTGCTAACTGTCTGATAAGTGTTTGTTTTGTCTATATTTGCAAATTTTGTTGCTAGGCTAAGCACCACACTTCACCACCAATGCCTTATGATAAAAAGGATAAATACAGTTTTCATGTGCTTTGTATATTGTACAGTCTACTATTTTGTTGTAAGCAGGATTTTACAATGGCATTACTATTATTAGAGAGCTGAAACACCTCCAGAGGTTATTCTGACATCAAAAGAATGGCAGAGTTAATATCTACAGGAATCCCACATGACAGATGTCTACTTCAGGAAGAGCAGGATCTGATTAATTATGCTAATGAAAACACTACAAACTGTTTTTCCTCTAAATGATAAATTAAATAACCTTATTAAAAGGAAAGCTTAGGACAATGGTGCATTAAATCCCTGTCATAATAAAAATGTCTACCCCAATGGTTTCTGCAATCCTTCATGGAGGGTACATTGTGGCATAGTAGGCTTCCCAGGTTACTTAAGATAACTTTGAAACTGCCGATGTAAATGTCAACTTTTTTTTTTCTCGTTAGCTAATATTTATTTCCTCTTTTGAATGGTTTTGATGAGCCGATTGTGTTTAAGAAAAGGAGGAACAAGGAGTGAAAATAAATTAGCTCAAAGGCTTTATTCACTGTTGTCCTTAGATGTATTTGAAAAGGCTATTTAATTCATAACTAGAAGGTAAGGCATCTTATAGTATTATTAACATAATTAGTAATTGCAGCTTTGAGATATGGACATCTGTCTGGCCACATTCCTATAGAGAGATCTCAAAACGTTAGTAATAGTAAATAACACAAGAAAAAGCTGATTTCTGTTTTTTGTGAAGCTTTCTACAGTTTGTACTCCACAGGTGACAAGTATGGTTAATTTTGTAATAAACCACTCGTGAGATAGTGAGTTACATAATGCATTCCAGGGAGCTGAGTATATGAAGTTTGTTTGTTGCCAGTCACTGATACCTGTCATAGACTTCAGTGGCTGTGAAACTGGGAAAACCCTTTTTGTGCTATATCTCTCCAGGCAGTATCATAACACTTCTTAGAAGAGTCCTTGAAGCTCTGTGACCCCACATCCTACTCAACATGCAGCAAATCTTCATCCCTGGTTGTATTAATTTTCCATGCACATAGGAGTAAATCCCACTTGTTTAATCTCCGTGTCTTTTTTTGGTTTGTTCTATCAGTCTCTGTTTTGTAGTGCAGTTTTGTATCAGATACTGTAAATTATTTAGGACTTTCTTTCTTTTATGGCACCTCTCTTTGACATTACATTTCTCTCTTGTATTGCTATGCCTGTAGCAGCATTACAGTGAAGGGTGGTAGACAACCCAGATTATTTTGACCTTTCACTAAACCTTTTGTTTGTTGCCTTGGATTGTTGTGTTTTAACCCCAGTTGGCAGCTAAGCTCCACGCAGCAGCTCGCTCACTCCCCCTACAGTGAGGTAGGGGAGAACTGGAAGAGTAATAGAAAACTCGTGGGTTGAGACAAAGCCAGTTTAATAGGTAAAGCAAAAGGCTACATGCAGAAGCAAAGCAAATGGAGGAATTCATTCACAACTTCCCATGGGTGGGCAGATGTTCAGCCATCCCCAGGAAAGCAGGGCTCCATCAGGTGTAACAGTGACTCTATAAGACAAACACCATCACTCCCAACATCCCCCCCTTCCTTCTTCTTCCTTCAGCTTTGTATACTAAGCCTGACATGATATGGTATTGAACATCCCTTTGGCCAGCAGGGATCAGCTGTCCAAGCTGTGTCACCTCCCAGCTTCTTGTGCACCCACAGTCCACTGTGTCGTTGGATGTGTGAGGGAGCAGGACAGGCCTTGACACTGTGTAAGCACTGCTCAGCAATGAAACATAACAATAACATACAGGGAATTGCAATTAATACATAGAAAAGGTGTTTGGAATATGACCAAAACTCTGTAGAGGTGAAAATAAAACAAAGGTCTTTCTCAAATAGATGTGTAAAACTTGGTGTCATATGGGGTCTAATTCCCCCTTGGAGTCACCTTTAAGTATATGGTGGCTATAACTTTCCTTATTTGACAGATTACTTAGTTCCCTTTAGCTTTCTTTATTTTTTTTCCTAGCAGAGCAACATCTGGAAGTTCCAAAACAGATTAGATAATCTTGCAAGTCAATGTGACCTTTGAGTCAGACAATTATTCAGGAATTATCATTAAAAAGAATGACATGTGTGCATCTCCTAAAAATATCATAGTTTTCTGATAAGTAACTATCAGATTGGGCTCTGTTGTAATTTTGATATAGGTTTTTCAAAGCCCCTTTCTGTCTTTGTCTAGTGAATATTTCTAGACCAATTCAGAATATTGTCATGACTAGAATTTTCTGACATTGAGGTTGTTTGCTTTGAACCATCCATCATGTTTTATTCCCAAAGCCAGTAACTGCTTTGCAAAACAGAAGTCAGTGCAAGTATTAACATGTTTATTATGACTGTACACTTGTATGTTTCACTGGCAAATTCATTACAATTAATTATGATTTCGATAAGGAAAAAATATTTCAGAATTGAAAGAAATTGTTTCTGCTTGAACGTCACTCCTAAAAATGTGGGAGTGATTACTTTCTGTAAACTAAAAATGGAAATTAAGTCTGTGAGCTAAATCCTGAAATCTGGTTAATTTTTCACTCAGTCTTAACTCAGGCAAGAAATTGCTGATTTCTAAGCTGAAAAGGAGAAAGAGATGAAGAGCAGTGGAAGGT